GTGAAAGAAGCCAGTAGTGCAAAGGGGCCCAACCATCCAGAAGCTTCAAGTTCCAAAAGCTGTTCAGTTCCGAAAGGTGTCCATTGCCAAAAGGCTTCAAGTTCCAAAGAATCTTAGTGCGAACGAAGAACTTTGAGAGCGGCGAATGCACATCTGACCTGAATCATCCTGTAACCGCGTAAAGAGCATTAAATAAAGACCTCTACGATTGGAGAATTGCTAAACCATTCACAACGCAGGTGCAGGTATGCCGAGTTGATCAGACTCCATATCCCATGATTGGTAGCTTCGTTGAGTGCCGTCCCACAATCATGCCGCACTCCCTTCTGTCATAAAACGACAGCCAAAGGGCTCGCTATGATTCCAAGGGTTAATTACACACGCATGCTTGAGTGTATATATACCTTTTGGGTGACCGGTGCCCTCCCGTTTTTGTTCAGTATTTCCTGCAATGCCTCCTTTCGAGTCCAACGTGAGGAAGCTGGGCATGTCCTCCGACGCTTGCGAGCGATTTCGCCGGATGGCCTCGCAGCTCGACTTCCAAGGCGAGCTGGAGGGGCCGGAGGGACGACCAGGATATATTATATATATATATATCATATATATATCATATATTATATCTATTGTATATTTTATCTATATATTATATTATTTATATATTCTATATTTTTTATTATATATTATATTTACTATATTTATTATATATTATATATATTATATATATAATATCATATATTATATATATTATATATAGAGATGCACATGGTATCAAGGAACGTGTATATGTTGGAGGCCATCACTATTAGGTTGGAGGCCTTGTTAGTAGGTTGAATCAAGAGACTTCAGGAGTACTCAGCACATCTCAGCACTCAGGTTAGGTATTTGTGGAAGTCCACAATGCCGGGCAGGGTAGGTTCATTTCTCCAAAGCTGGGCAACCACCCCGAAATCCAGACTCAAGACCTTGGAAACCTCACTTGGGAACAGCATCGCTCCAACCTCCAGTTTAAGACAATTGCATTAGAGTTTTGTTGAACATTGAAGAAGGAAAACAAATACGAATCAAGGGCAAGCTGTGACCCCGTGCTACATGCAATCATTTTTGCTTGCCAAATTTTGAGGAGGCTTGTTCATGTGAGAATCCGTTCGAGATTGTGGGGAGCATACCGGATTTTGTAACTGGTCAATTTGTTTCTTGTTTGTTCCGCCGACAGGAATAGCTCCTTCGACATGATTCGCAGTGAGCGCGAAGGTGTTGAACATATTTCAATTCAAACCTGGCATGGCGAGAGCGGTGAGAGGATATCGAGGAATACCAAAGCCCCCTTCAGCCAAGTGCTTGATGAATGCTTTCGTCACCAGGTGCCTTATAGAATCGGATTCCGGAACCATTTGAAGGCCGCCAGATTGCTGTAAGCACATCCAAACTAGAGCCTAGAGCCTTGCTGAAACCTATTCGTATCATTCTCAGTATTCAGGTTCAGCGTTAGTTGATTGTTTTGTTTAGCCAGCTTTGAACACAAGACCACATGACATCCTTACCATATCCTTGCTGGTGAAATGGAAACAAATAGTTTGTGAACCAATATGAACAGACAATGTCACAACTTTGCTGTTCTAAGAAATTCATCAAAAAAAGACAGTTCATCACAGGGCCCGGCCCGTACTTAGTGCATGCAACATGGGCCTGATTGCACGAGTTCAAATTCGATTGTCGCTCCAGCTTCTTAACACCAATGGAACTACACACAAGATCCCACAATAATTTTTGACATGGGAAGTCCTTGACAGAATCAAAGCTTCAGCCTAGAGCTAGACAGGAGAGTTGGGACAGTCAGTGAATGGCTCTTTAGCTTCCGCTTCCAAGTTGCTCTAGTCCTAGGGGAGCAGGCAAGTGCTGATGCAGAACTTACACATCGGAGCAGCAGAATGGCTTGGCTGGCCGGACCGTCCCTGACCTTTCGGTGGCGTTCTTTCGAAGCTCATCACACTTGGCCTTTGTCCCAAGCGGTGCTTGTCCACGGAGAGTTTGATGCTTTCAGATGAATCAAGACAACCATTCAGGATCAAGTATCTAGTTCAGGCATTTGGCAGGAGCATGTTCATCTACAAGACGGCTTTGTTCCATGAATGTGTACCGCATTTTGTATTGATGCGCCCAGTTCATCCCTGGTGCACGTTGCGATCTCTGTGGACAGATTGGGTATTTGCTTGATCAAGTCTTTTGTCTTGATCAACATGTCCCGACTGGGAATGGATGTAGTGACCGTTCCTACGCTTGTGCATTTTGGCAGTGGTTTGTTTGCAATCTATAGACTTTGTACAAGTCCGGATCTGCGGCAACGAGAAAGGGTAAACGGTTTTTCTTACTTTGCTATACAAGGAGGCACAATCTGAGAAAGACCTCATTGGCAGCGTGGGTCCATGTTGTGGCTTTTGCCAGCTACCACCTTGTTGAAGACTTTTTGTGGACTCGGAATGCAACATTTCGTTCCATGACTAAGCGACATTGGTAAGAAAGGGTGCCAGTCTGACCAGCAATGCGCATCAGGGAGTGTTTTGTTTGATTTATATAAAGACAAGATTGAAGTATCAGTATGAGCATCGCTACTAGAGCAAGTGCATCGCTACTAGTAACAAGGGCATTACTACTAGTAGCAAGAAGCTGCTAGGAGCTTCTAGTGGTCAGCCACATCACATCCAGAAGCTTCAGAAGCACGTATTCATTCGCTATCTCCACTACCATCAATGTACTATAGGCAGAACGATACTGAAAGGCTTAACTGAATGCACACATACTGCTGGTGCGACAGCTACTTCCCTTTCATTTATTTGCCGGCAGCCACTCTCTGGCAAACAACCGTCTTCCAGGGGTGCCTGCCAAAGGGTGTCAATATTGTTTGGTCGAAAGTTGGAAGCAGGTTCAGGGATCTTCCGGTCTCAGGCATTGAACTAGGTAACTAGGACAATGACACCAGACTGCCAAAAGAAGTGCGGTGTCCGCATCTGGTCACAAGGACCAATGGCGACATATGCGCACGTAGAGGCCGAATGCTTGGAAGAAGTGTATCCGCAGATAGAGCCATGACATTTTGCTGCTATCCATTCAATTACCATCAATTACACCCTCCCAAGACTGTGTTTCTGCAAGCAAGAAACTTATTGACTTACGTACACGCTTTGCGTTGATGATGACTGTTTGCGTTTGAATCTTTGTGTTGCAGGGGCTTCCCATCCACATACCAGGTTTGGAAGAAGGTTTGAATAGACAAATTGAACCAAATGCTTGCTGTGAACTTTGAACCGCATGCTTACTCTTGTGCGCTGTAGATGGCAGTTCAATAGGCAATGCGCTTGGCTGATTTTTGAACGTGATGAGCAGCGACCCAGCCACTGTTTCTGTCAATTGAGTTGTTTAAAGAACGCCGCCTGAGATCTTGGCTGTTGCCAGATAAATGGTCCATGCGAATCATGGCTTCAGCTTCGTAATGAATATTTTTGATCCATGAAGATTGATTGGACTTGTGTCAAAAGGACCCATCAAGAATCCACCCATCAAGATTACTGCTTTATAGAACGAAGGGGAAGGGTTCATGCAATGTTCGAAGTGTGAGAAGAGTGTCCACTACTTAATTAAAGGGAGGGAGTGGCACCTTTCTGTGATCGCTGACGTTTGATTGAAATCAGCACGTCTACAGTATTTACTACCATGATTACCATGAAGTGAGGATGATTGCCATGACCTCTATTGGACCAAGCTCCCATTTTGTGAGCCACCATGTTCGTGTAAATAGCAATAGGATCCACTCGTCCTTGCACTTTCTTGTCGCAAGAAATGGAGGACTTGTCGATTGAGTCAACGAGGATAGTACCATGTGTGATGTACCGGTTGGATGTCTCAGACGAGGCATTTGGCAGTCGGACGACCTGTGTAGCGTCCGATCGCTCCGTTCGTAGCGATGCCCTTTCTTACGTTCGTAGCGTCCTCTTGTTACTAGTAGTACGGCCAGGAGCCCCTAGTAGCTTCTTGCTCCGTTTGTAGCGATGCCCTTGTATAAAAGAAGTTATGCTGTTGCTCAAAGTTTGTGGAGGAATCTTTAGCAAATAGACGTAGAGTCGTAGAGAATCAGAAGGCAGTGATGAAGTCAAGAAACAGACTTGCTGACACTACGTGGATGAACTGGCTTAGAGGTGATTCCTCATCCTCAGCCGAATTGGTGAACAGATGCGCCGGTGTTCTTGACAGCTCGACTCCAGAGACTCGAGATTTCTTCGCTTTGGCTGCTTCTTCGTAAGTGAACAGAGGATGCTTGTGGAAGAATCTACATAGCTTCTCGTGTGCTGGAGAGGAAAGATCCTTGTTAAAGATGAGATCTGAGACTGGCTTGATGTGTTTTGCCTGAAGGTTGGCGTTAAATATCTTTAAATGGTTTACATGGATTTCATCGTACATTTTACAAGCATGCATTCTTGCCCAACAAAATCAAGGATACAGTAGTCACCATTGAGATTGGTGGCCCTCCCAACCACAATGCTTTGCGCAAAAGGCCTAGTTGAGCTGCACACCAGAACACCCGCGCTTAGCCTTTGCTGCAAATTCTCATGGGGTGCCTGTCGTGAATGGGGAGTGACTCTCAGTGCGACTTGGGACCTGTCAGGCCGTATTGGGCTGGACGGCTCCCCCACGGGTCATCGAACGAATGCTGTACAACATGGTGAACATAAACTCTATACATCTAGGAACCACAGGCTAAAAAAACACTCTCACCTCGACGTTCTGAAGGCATCCCCTTCACGTTGTCCCCATGTGCACAAACTCCAGCAGGCGACATTTTCCCCTAGAGTGTGTTCCTCCTGAAAAGATGTGCGGAGTGTGCTGCAGTGAAGTTGCTGCCCTTTTGGGGATGTGGCGCTGTGTTTTGCTTGTTTGATAGATTTGATAGATGGGCAGACTTGCACACAGAACAGCGCATTGACAAGCTTGCTGCCATCCCCGCGCAGGAAGCGGTGGAAGATGACTCGCTTCGTTCAGAGACTTTTTCTTTTCTTGCTAGGTGCCAAAGCGCGTGTTTGTATATTTTCTGAGCGGCGTTGTCCACTGAGATTAAGCAGTTGCAAGAATCGTGATTTTCCAAGCGCAGCATACCCCAATTCTGTTTATATAGATGTGGTACAATGTACTGTACTATTTTGTGGCTGCTCAACTCCACGACTTGGTTCTGGGCAGCGAGCATTTTGCCCTCCTGACATCATACATACACAGATAAGTTGCCTTTTGTTGCTTTTCTGCATTCATGATTTTCTGGAGCCCCTCCCAGCAGTGGCACCCTGACCATTATGATACTTTGTAGGCCGTGTGTGGTTGCCAGATAACCTTCATCACCGCTACTTTGATGCTGTGCTTGCAGTGCGGCATGTTGTTTTCAGTAGCCATTGATGAGTGTCTCCTGACTTGTTGGATTCGACTTCTTGACCGAAGACCGTTTTCTCATTGAAATTTCATTGACGTCGTTTTCTTTCTGGAAGACTTTTTGAGAGAACACTTTTGTGATCTCAGACCACCTTTTCTCGGGCCGCTGTCCAGGTGTGCTGCAGATTTGCCTTTTTGCCAGCAGTGAGCTCAATGCTTCGAATGTCTGAAGCCCAGTGCGTAGTCAGCAGATAGAAGCCCGGTGCGTGGTAGACCAAGCTGCACCAAGCTCTTTTGTTTCGGTGAAAAGCTTGCCTGAAGTTTTTGTGTGTTAAAGGAATAGTGTAAAGTTCGTTGTTGCCAAAGAAGCAGCTTCCTGACCGAGCCCCACTAGCAACTAGATATATAGATGCGAATAGCAAGCACCGCCAACAGCAGCAGCAAATTGGCGCACTGAACTGAACTCCAAAATGTGTCTACCGTAATTTGGTCAGAATTGCCAATGTGTGTGTGATTGTGTGTGTGGCCTCCAACTAGTAGCGTCGCTCGTTGTCATCTCAATTTGGCAGAGGTAAACTATGTAACCCCCCTAACCACCAAGACGAACCTTGACTTGTTTATAGAATTCCTGTATATTGGAGATGCATTTGCACGGGGGCATATTGATAGATAGCTATAGAGAACCGCCTATTCATTTGTTTTTGTCTTCAATGTTTTTACAGATACAGTACAGGTTTGTATGGTGCCCTTGTAGAATAACTTGAAAGAACTTTTGGAAGCAAAGCAATCCCGCAGACTAGCAGACATTTTGTACTTGCTTGCATTAGCTTACCACCAGTGATTATATAGACCAACCTGCAGCCACTCAGGGTGCACTCATCAACTATTGGCTGGCCATGCTCTTCGGCTGTGCCGGAGAGTCGTTGCTCAGCACGTCAGAGACCTAAGTGCAATTTTAGCTGGACGGAGTCCGAGTATATAATTGGTTTGACTATTTGACTTGCTATTAGATAGCAAGCGGCAGAGTTTGGCTTGTCCGGAATCTGAATATAAAGGCTTCCATTTGTCTCCCCGTGAAAGCTTTGAGAGACAACGGTTTGAATTGTGGCCCTTGGCAGCGCAGAGTTTCCCAGGTACGACATTCGGGGTCCAGTGAGGCAAATCATATTTCTCGTGCTATTCCTCTTCATGTGAGATTGGTGAAGATACTTGAGCCATTGCCGTCTTGCAGATGGCAGCAGCGCCCTTCATGCACAAAATATACCCTACAAGAAACCTGACCTTTTCTAGAAATTCTTTAACCAGCAGTATGTTGTAATCTATTTCGATTCTACAACGGTGTTATCCAATTTTACAGTACCTTGTGCAAGAGCCTGCATGAAAAAGAATGTGCGGTCAGAAGAATCAGCAATGCTTCAGCTTTGAACAGCTGTTCAATTTGCTAAATCTCCAGAGCAGAGTATGGGCTCTGGAATTGGCTGGTTGTGTGGGTGTGTCAGCGTCAAAATAGAAAGGCCACTTATTGCAGCTAAGTTGTGGTCCTGGTCAGGCGTTCGTTCTTGGATTGGATCCACCTCAAGGAGTTTCGAGACAAGCCCCGAAGAGATTTGACTGCCACGTGAGTTTCACATCTTCGACTGTTTTAGTCACGACAAGGAGGAAATCCAGCAGACTGCTTGGATAAGGATGGATCAGGCCACTTCAGGCAGAGAATTAAAGCCTGTCGCCGCCACAACTTTCTCTCGTTCGCCAGTTTAGATGCCAAATATAAACTGAGAGCACCATGCTGCTCTTCGACGTTGAACCTATCAGCATTGCAGCAGAAAACAACAGTGTATCCCTGGTAAAGCAGAGTCATCGACCGGACATTTGGACAACATCCAACAGAACTACCGTGTAGTTGTTGACATTATTGCTGTTGCTGACGTCATGACAGTATGGCAAGGAAAATGGGAAGAGTCTCTTTTGCCGGGCTATCCAAAGCCCCAGCAGACTAACCCACCAACCTCCCAGGCATCCGGCAGGCCGGATATAACTGCACCTACCCTCCAACAGACCACTGAACACCAGCAGCGCCCGGCACCATGCCGCTGACCTTCGACTTTGGCCCAGAGAATCGGCCAGATGTACTGGCGAAGCGAGCCAAAACACCAGTCACCTTGCTGGCGGGCTTCCTGGGGTCCGGGCACCTTGGCAGTTGCTGTGTTCTTTGATTCTTTGCCGTGTTCGGTTTGGATCCAAGACATTCCAAGACCCATGTTTGGGTACCAAGGAAAACCACGTTGCTGAAACATTTGCTGGAAAACCAGCATGGGTTGCGCATTGGAGTTGAAGCTAGGCAACAATTAGAGAGGCAGGGATTTGTTGGAACGGCCGCGGACAAGGGTTTTCGATGAGCGATTTTTCAAGTAATTACGGCCCGTGGTTTGAAGGAATCCAAAACAGGCAGCAGCTCATGTTGTTGAGATGGCAAGGGCTGTTGCAGCATGTTGTTCAGTGGAGCCGAAGCGCATTGGTCATTGCAGAAGCGCATGTGCAAAGAGGTTGATGGGTAGCTTCAATATTTACCGCTTCCCGCACTGCACACTGGAAGCAAGTCAACACAACGATGAAGTAAGAATCGGTGCGTTCAAACACGTACACCACAAGCCACCATCATCCTGCGTCCATAGTAGTTTCCCATTGCTCGTAGCTTACCTCCTTACTTAATTAAGTAGGCACCTACTTAATTAAGTAAGGAGGCAGGGCCACGGGCTTTAAGGGTAAAACATAGAGCCAAACTCAGGTTGTCAATGACCTGGCCTCCGTCAACATCGACTCTCAGCTAATGCGGCGGTATGATCATGGCCTCGTTGAGATTGCTGAGCTGCAAAACGGTTGCTCAGATGAGGATGGTTGGCCGCTGGAACATGCTGGAACAGAAGACAAGGAGGCCACAAGGGATGCACAAGCTTAAACAAGCAAGTATTTGCCTATGTACTGCGGTGCTTGAATGTGTTTGTAGGTTTGTGTGTGAGCTGGGAGTCTTTTTGAGGCAGGCTATTGGGTTCGAAGTAGCGTTGAGTGTCACACTCAGGCTGTGTTTGCTGCTCTTCTGCAGATGACCTTTTTTCAGCCGTGCAGACCATTGTCATGCGCTCTAAGGACAGGTGTTCAACAAAAGGCAGTTGAAAGACAGCTCAACGAGTCAGTGATTCATTGCTGTCTTCCTTGCGTAACTGATTTGCCTCTCGCAGGCTCTACATCTACTGTCCCTTCATGCAACAAATGGAGTATTTGTAGGTGACCTGTCCTTGAGGATTGCCCCTTTGAGCACATTCTTGTTGAGCTGAGCGGCATTGGAGATCCGCAGGTGTGATAGCACTGGAAGTAGCAATGGAGGATGTCGTGTGTTGGGACAACGGTGGTGCGCTTGCTTTAAGCCTTGCTCTGACTATAGTTTGGTGCAGAGGTCATGCAATTGAGTGTAATTTCGTCCTGGATCTTTGCCAAAAGTCACAGAGAAGGTGAGTTGTTTCTTGAATTTTGTTCCTCATTTCTTAGAACCCTTGGAACAAGAAGGTGTGGAGTCCCTTGGAGCTGGCTTTCAGGGTTTTCCGTTTCGTTCTCAACATTCTTGAGTAGCCCGTGCAGAAGGGATCGTGAGCATGTCCGAGCGCAGGGTTACCCCCGAATCGTGCTTGCAAAGCCAGTTTAAATGCTAGTTATAGGATTAATATGGATTAATGATTGTGTTTATGAAGGTTTATTTATGTTTGTTTGTTATGCTATGGCCATCTATGGCTATGTTGAAACGAAGCCGGTCACGAAGCTGAACGGGTTGTCCATCCGTGTCGAAGGCGATCCGCTGCAACTGGGCTTTGGCAACAGACTGTCAGCTGCCAGCGGCAATGTTGACACAACTGGCCAAAGTCATCACAGTGGTGGATGTCACGTGGTGAGAATACGGGTGAGAATAAGGGTTTTTTTGTGCTTTATTGTTTCTTTATCCCGTTACCCTCACCCTTACTAATTAAGTAGGCACCTACTTAATTAAGGGCTAACAAGGCTAACAAGTACCCTACTACCTACTGGACGCAGGAAAGCTCACGCTTCAATTCAAGGAAGCTCTCCCCAGGGTGGAAGGGAACTTCCTAGATGTTCGTCCTTCTACGACAAAGAACTACCCTACTGCGGGGTTTTGCCGAGTGATGTAGAAAAGGCATCCCAAAGACTGCGGGAAATCTCCAACTTCCGCTTGGGAGGAATCCTTCGCCCATTGATATCAGCATCTTTCACAGAAGGTGGTTTTGCTTGGCAGCTGTTTGAGGCAAGCGCCTTCCTGGCAGATTGGAGAGACACAAGGAAGGCTCGCTGCATAGAGGAATTGATACAAGCAGCGCATGTGCAGCGCCTGAAATCATGTAGCGTTTAGATGCGTTCATATAGCAGATCCGTGTTCTGTGTGAATTTGGGCGATCCATTTGGCTTCACCCTCCCAGGCCTTGGAGAGGAATGGCTCTGCTGAGCACGACGGGCGAGGGAGCCATGGCCGAAGAAACACACCCAACACACCTGAAACCAACCAGACCCTCAAAGGCGCTGGAAGATTGAACTCTGACTTTTTTTGGGGAGATGCTCCAGCGCTGCAATAAGCACCCTTTATCCATCAAGAATCGTCCAGTGCAGAAGTAAGCCATGCAAAGTCAGTGCGCGTTTAAGGCGTGGTAAAGGCTATAGCACCAGCAGAGAGATGGTTGGTAATCTCCTTGCGGAGCAGATTGAATTGGCGGATGCATCGACCTCAAGATGTGTCTCATCAGGTCAAGATTGGTGAACCGCTTCAAATCTTTGGAGTCACCCCTGTTGCATCCTCGCAACTGCACAAAAGCGCTGTATCTTTTTGGTTGTTCTTAAGAATGTGTACACTAATAATCAATTTGAATCAGAATCAGCTTTTGCAGCATGGGTTTGAACTGGTACCTGTTCAAAACATTCAGGTGTTGGTCGTCAACAAATGTGACCTTGCAAAGGCGGAGGAGCTGAGCGACTTGGTGACCAACGTAAGCTCAACACTTTGAAAATCCATTGCGTCAAGCCTTTTTGTGGGAAACCTGAGGCAAAACTCTACAAACATTGCGGGCCATCAATCCGACAGCAGAGCTATGCCAGAGTCTTGCTACAGTTTGTGAGAGGATGGGATGAAGTCCAGTAATCCAGTTGACAGTCGGTCTATGCATGTGGCTTTATTGAATTTGGTCGAGGGACGCCGATTGTCTGGCAGTTTTGATCTCAGGACGGAATTTGCTCGTGTGCCTTCCGCCGTGCTCCCACCTGTTCCCATTGGCCTAAAAATTCAAACTGCTGGGCAAGAAAAAGGTGCCTTGTTTGCAATGGTCCTCTTGTGCTTCGCAAAGCTGTCGCTGTGCAGTGCAATTATCAGAGGCAAACGGAAGGGTAGTGCACAGAAAGGGTTTTGCAAAAACCTATTCTACTAACATCGTGGAAGGCGCGGGACATTCGTAGAACCCAAGGCCATTCGTGGATAGTTCGTGGAGTGGTGGGCCAGTAGGAGAACTGACTGCAACGAAATCCTAGCAACCTTCGCAGGACTTCGTGGAAGGTATTTTTTGATGCACTAACTTCGTATAAGCGATTTTTGCTGACCCCCTTTCTCCACACACCCTCCATTTAGCCTTCAAATTAGTTGAGAGCCGAGAGCATGTAGGATAGGACCAATGCCAATTAATTGAAGGATTTATTTACGAAGATTTATGCACAAAGTAGTATGCCAGGTAAACCAGGTGAGCAAAGAGTCCGTTTGACCAGTGATTGTCACTCCGATGTAGCTGTGGGTCAAAACAGTGTATGACAAGACACCAAAACATAATGTAGACGGACTCCAAATCGCACTGTCCAGATCTCCGTTTGCTGAAAACACTCTTTCAGAGTCTGAATGAGCAGAATCACGAAGGTTATAGCTGGACACAGACCACCAAGGAGGTTCAGCTCAAAATGCCCATCGAGAAGCAACTTGAACATGTTTACAGTTTTCACAGGAGTGTGTTCTCTTCAGTTTGTTTCAATACATATTGATGGAAAAACAAACGCTATTAGGAGGTTGGAGGCCATCGTTGTAGGGGCATGACCCGGCATGGCCGTTTGTTTTGTACTACAGTTCAGCAAAGTGTCAAATTTGCATTTTGCTGCTTGCGAGCAACCGTGCACTAAGTACGGCATTGGCAACTTCAACCAAATCGATTTACATCTCCATTTTTAGGTCTTTTGTCCTTGCGAAGGCACGTGAAGGGCAAGGATATTGACTTTACTTTGAGGAAGGGCTCCTTGACGCCAGCCAGACCCGCTTGAGACTGAACACATGCAATGGTTTGTTTGACCAAACATAAACCATTATAAAACAATAGAACCCTGAAAGAGGTGCTTACATTGTGCAAGAACGATGTTATTTATTCTATTATTACGGCTTGAGCTTTTAGAGCGAACGAAGTGAGTTAAGGGGGTGTGGGTGGGAGGGTGTTGAGAGGGACATGAGGGTGAACCCAGAGCTTGGTAGGGGAGAGCGCTCCAAAGCGAGTGTCAGAAAAGCAGTGAAAATGGGGTCTGCTGATGCGAGTGATGCAATGGACGCCGAGTAGTCTTTTCACACGTGGAAGATAGCAAAAATTACTTTTACTTGATAAGGGAGTAACCGAGCATGGATCGGGCCTTGACTTTGGCACCTGCGTGTGTAGATCTTTGGGCCGTGGACCCAGCAGGCTGACTGGATTCGGCCAGGACTGCCAGCAAAAAGGCGACGTCATGAGTCAGTAATATAGAACTTATCTTTCTATCTATCTGCACCGGCAAGCCGGAAAACGTTCGGTGCGCGTGGACGCCGCGAGAAGCATCCACTCGCTGAGGACACGGTGCAAGTATAGTTTTCGCTAGGGGGCAGGAGCCCCATGCGGATATGTAGTCAACCTCGCAGGCACCCCCACCGAATCTCAATCCAAATTCAAGGACTTGAACTCATGTCACTTTCGGTTCTCTATGGATTTCGCAAGTTACGGGTTGCCCTGGGAACTCGTATCCTACATGCGGCTGCGGTCTGCTCTCCAAAGCCCTTAAGGATACTAATGACGTTCGTTTTATAGAGGCCCCTTTAAAGGAAAAAGATTGTGTTTTGGATCGAGCCAGAACATGACTCACTCAAGTCCAGGCATGCGCCAAATCAAAAAAATGCCGCTTTTTCGACGCGCCGCAGTATGCATTGCAAACTCCAAATGTAACAAACACATAAATGCTTCTTGTCAAACGCATGCCGTTCTCGCGCGTGCGCGGCGATTCTGACTATGGAGAAGCTTTTCCTGCGCGCGCGCGCACGCACGTGGTATCCCACCACTCGAACTCAGACGGTATTTCCCTCTCGCTAACGCTGACGTCGCCTTCCAACTTCCATAAGATGTATACCTTCCCCCATGTGACAAACACATGCCATTGCCTTGTGTCTTGTGCCGCGACGCCCGCCAGAAAAAGAGACACTCGTCTGGCGGCTGCTGGCTTTCGTCCCCCCCTTCTCAGGTATTATATATATATATATATTGTGTTATATAAACTTGTCGTTACATATAAGACAAGATGCCAGCGGAGTTAAGGTGCTTTCAGCATTTACAGCTTGCAGTCTCGATATAGTAAGACCATTTGTTTGTGAAAAATTCTGCCTGCGAGGCTTTAGGAGGAGTGGACACCGCTGTTGCGCACATGGTTTTGCACATATAGACACCGCTGCTTCTCAGGCTAAATTCACCTTGTCATTGACAGACTGATTGAAACTGTCATCAGTTCAGTTACCTTGTCAGACTGACTGCAAGTAGATCGGGAGGCCATCCACAAGAATGAACAGATCATTCGAAAGATCTCATCTTTAGGATTTCCCTGGCCAGGCTGGGCCTGAAATTGCGGGAGGTGGCCAAAGGCGTTTTGGCAGGAGACTGGGGAGCCGGGCAGGAGACGGGCAGGAGACGGGCGGATTCAAGGCGTGTTTGGATGGCCATCAGTCTGGGAAGCATGCTCCGGTGGTCTTTCGTAGGGTGGGTGATAGTGGTTGGGTTGGTGCCCCTGACCACCACGACACTGTGCTGTTTGATGGTGAGTGCTGCTGTTTGAGTGCTTTTGTGGTTTGCTGGTTTGCCCTGCTACTGGAGGGCTGGACTGAGACAGACATAGTTTTTTTTTAGCAATTGGTAGTTTCTGATATAATATTGTATGATATTGCATGTACATATGTTTACTAAGACAAAGTATGTTCTGGTCATAGACTGCGCTTTGTCCGGTTGAGCATCAAATAGATTCCCAAACCATTTGCTAATTTGCACGAAACACCTTCAGATGTGGTTGGGTCGAGCTGCATTGCTCTTGGATGTGTCAAGGCTACGTCATGCATGTTCCCGCCAAAGTAGTCATGTCTTCCCACTCCAGCTGAGTTTCATGTTGCTTACCTTTATATAGAAGTACTTGTCTTTCAGTTTTTGCTTTGCCTTCGCCTTCGAAAGTCACTATTGTAACAAGAGCTTGGCATCCGCATAAGGCTGGAGCCTGTGTGTTCGTCATGAAAGCTATCAGCGCATAAACTTCTAAAGCAACTGTCTACTTCTGTTGACTGACAAGATCATGTGATGGTGTTCTTTGTCTTTAGGCTTCTTGCCCCAATGTCTTTATTGCCCAAATCTCTGGGATTTTCAATGGCTTTGGCATCCCGCGGTGCAATTCCGCTTGGGCGAATCCCTTTAGTCACCAATCACTGGTTGCCCTGATCTTTCATTCCCCAGCAAAAGTACTTACTGTATGTTTTATTTTGTGTTTTGGCCTCTTTGTCTGTGCTGTGTTGGGGGCTATTCAAGGACAGTACAAGACATGTTGCAACTCATGTTGCAGCTAATGTTCTATGCCATGTCAGGGCTCATGTTTGGCTTATGTGTGGGTACTACTACAGAGTTCTGTAGTCCAGAAAAAACCGCCAGGCCTCAAGTCTGGAGGTTGAAAAAACACTGGGACCAAGGGCTTCTTCCACCACCCACCAGCGCACAACTAGCACACAGTTTTTGCTGCACACATGGATTCCGGGAGTGCCCACCATAGTTCAAAATTTGGCACTCAGAAGACTCAGTGACAGAAGGAATCTGCATTCACACAAAATTTGCAGGGGCGCATCTCAGTTGGATTCCCTTTACCTCTGGAGCTGGCACAACTGTGGCTTGCATGCCAAACTGCGCCATGTGCATTCACAAATACAGATTTGCTAGCAACGGCATTTTTTCGATTTGAGCTCAAACAGCTCATGCTCTAGAGCCTGGATTTTGTTTTGGTAAAACTCGATTGGGCCCGGGCCCGGGCGGTCTTCATCATTCATGGTGACACCACTATCAAACTTGCGGTGATCCATCTCTGGCAAGGTACCACTCTTGGAATGACCATTGCCTTCACATTTGCCACAAATCTGGCCTGGGTCAGAAATCTTTGAATTACACCCTGGCCCTGAAATACATTTTCCTAATAGAACACCACTTGCAACAGCAAGTAGCAAAGTCCACACAATTGCCGTTGCAGGGGGAAGGATGATGGAAATCCCACCTCCCGCTTCCATGGATCAATGCGTCCAAATCCACCTACTTCAGTGGTGCCACAGTGCCTGTGAACCCAAACTGCAAGCAGCCACACAATACACAAAAACCTAACTCTCATGTCACGAGGAAAAATGGGAGAGGGAGAAGTGAAAAGGAGAAACAAAGCTTACAAATAATGCCGCCGAACTCGAACAGATACACTCTGGTTCGTTCAAAGTTCTATGGATCCTGGGTAGTTGTTTTAAGAACAAGTTCAATTCACTACCATTTGCCCGTACGACCAATCAACAAGTCACAAGTCAGTCCTGAACACTTCAACATCTTAGCATCTTCAACAAACAGCAGCAGTGCAGGTGAAACACAATCTCCTGAACGCTCTGCAGATCCGGACGAGAGTGATCTGGCCAGAAGTAAAGCTCAATTTTTCCGCGCAACAAAACTTGGGAAGATTCCTTGCCGAGAGCCACTATGTTAAAAAAAGCTCGGCTGCTGAATCCTTCTGCAAACCGTCCCAAATCCCAAAAGATTTTCAACCACAAAATTTGTAGTCCACTCACCAAGAAACAGCTTAGTTGCCATGTCAAAAACGAGCAAACAACAACATGCACCGCACCGTGTATATTAGAACTCTGAGTCTGAGTCTGTATCTGTATCTGTATATGATATTATGGCATTGATTTCCTACCCAAACTGGAAGACTCTTGCGCCGAGCCAAGGGGCACACAAGTGCCTGAACGTCAAACCTGCCTGGACTGCTCAAGCCCCAAGGGCTTCTGCACATCATGGGAAGAATCAAACAAATTTGATGGGGGAAGCCTCCAGGAACCTCACAACCCATGGTAGACAGAATGATACATGATACAGATATAGATACAATGATAGTACTAGTACTACGTAGTACATGTCGTTTGGTTCTAAACAAAAAAAATGGAGCAGTCCGCTTGACTCTAGCCACTAGCCTAGCCTAGTCATCCTGGTCCGCTTCTAACTCCTCTTGCGCCACAAGTTGGAACGGTCGCTTCCTCTTCAACACTGGAGGCCATTGCGGTGGCAAAAGTGTTGGTGAGGTTGTACCATTTGAGTCACACAGCGAAGACTCTGCATCAGTATCACATGCGGAGTCACCTTCGAGCAGCATTCTTGTTGAGAGTCGCCTCATTTGGCCCAAAGACTCGCGATGCATAAACACCATTGTTTGTCAGCAAAACGGCAATAAAACACAAATCAGTATTCGATCATGAATCATGAATCATGAAATAATCATAATCGAATCTAATCGAATCATAATTAAATGCAATGCAAGTTGCTCACCGTCATGACCCAGTTCAAGTGCAAATATGCAAAGCCCCATGACGCAGGCTCCAGCCACACTGCTGGTCATGGAATTTCCTCCAAAAAGCGCTGTCAAATCCTCTACGGTAACTATATCAGTACGGCCCGTACGGCAATGAATATATCATATTTATATAATATCATATCATATGTCATATATGCCATCCCGGTTAACCAAGCCAGAAATGTAGCAATTCTCCAATTCAAGCAAAGCAGCAAATTATCTCAAAATTCCGAAAGGGGAACTGGACTTGCCTGCCAGTCGGTTCACCATTGAATAGTCCGTCTTGTCAGGCCACTTGAAATCAGCTGCATCAAAACCTTGGCCTAGAAGTAGTGCCTGCACAGAATGAAAATCAACGGGGTGAAAAGAGATTACCGTTTACCGTTTTGCAAAGCAGCATGGCATTGCAAAAATATATCAAAACCAAAGGCTACTCAGCTACAATTGAAACCCTGCAAGTCTTGAGGTCTCCGTCTGCAACTCTTTTTGTTCACTGCAAGGCGTCCATCTCATATGGAATGGCAGTCGCACAAAGTCGGCTTGATGACCGCGACCTGTCTACTTGGAGCGACGCTTTTTCTTCTTGGCGTCATCTTCGTGATCAGGACGTGTCGCTGGAGCGGTCTTCTTGCCTTCCTTCCCCTCCTTTTGCTTCTCCTTCTTTTGAGCTGATCCTGATCCCTTGTCCTTGTCCTTGTCGTTCTTCTTGTCCTTTTTCTCATGTTTCTTCATTTTCTGTTTCTCTTTCTCCTCAACATTCTTGAGTACATTCTTCTTTGCGTTTTCAATAGTCTCGTCCAAGTCAGCAATCACTTCCTTTGGCAAATCCTTTTTGCCCAGGTGAAAATACTTTTGTGTGTACTTCTCAATCTTGTCAAATAGTTTCTGATCTGCATTGGGGTCACACCCAGCATCGCACCAAATGAGAAGGGTGCAAAGCTGTGCCCCCTTGCCCGCCTTCTCCTTGACACCAACCTTTTTTTGTTGCAGCATCCCGGAGAACATCGTTCAAAGGGTTGGAAGCGGAAACATGCTGAGCCAACCTTTCCAGACACTGAACAAACTCCTGAGCACTCTTGTGGGATTCCTTCAAAGATTCAATATCGCCCTTCACCTCATCGTTGCACTTCTCATCAAACACCCAAGCCGCAATCTGAGTGTCATTTTTAGCCACAGCCTGCTCAAGGACCACATACTTCTCATGGAAGGCATCCAGGCCGCCTGCAATGGATGTAGCCTCGGTGTCCACTGCTGCTTTCAGACACTTCAAAAAAGTATCCGAATACTCCTGGCAGTGCTTGTGGGCGTTGGAGAAAGCCTCATGGTCCAGACCTCCAGCTGAGCCACACGCACATGCTGACTCATACACATCAAGGCAAGCTGTCAGCTTGGCGACCTCCTTGTTGCTTTGGAGCTTGGCCAGCTCGGAGGGCCAATCGATTTCCAGTGAATGAGAGAGAGCTTTGAAACTCTTTGGAAGGATCTGTTTCAGTTCCTTGTCCTTGTCGGGAAACTCTTTGGTGGCCAAGGCAACAGTGGCTTTGGCACCACAAACGGATTCCATTCTCCAAAGCATGTTCACAATTGTAGTTGCTGCCCTTCCAGGAGCTGAGCTTCCGTATTGCTCAGGGAGGCCCTTGATGGCATTTTCGCAAACCTGAAGGCATGTCGAGGAATACGATGCAAGCGCACTGAGAAGGGTGATGCCCTCCGCGTCTTTTGCTGCGTTCTGCAAGACTGAGGTCCGTGTGGACCATTCAGTCAAGACAGTACAGCACTTGGCAAGGGACATGTCCACATCATCTTGCGTGGCATGGAAGAAGCCTTGGATCTGGAAGGTCAAAAGGAATTGGACAAATGATATTAATATTTTAATCTATTATATAGTTAATAGCAAATTGGCTGGGTGTCTTTGGATGTTTCACGTGTTGCTCCAGTCAATTCATTAATTCTGGATACTGACACAATGGCATAGTGCATACTGGCATAGGGCCATACTGTGATAACTTGATGACAGTGACAGAACTG